AACCAAATATATAAATGCATGCCTGAAATTACACTTTCACTACAAGCTTTTTAAATATTGACACAAGAGACAGAGAGATTAAACTGCCAGCCTCTATCTGACAAGTAAACATAACATATAAAGGAAACAGGAAAAATCCACAAAGCTCTGAGAAACATGTTACCCTGCTCAAAGATGTACACTTCCTAAAACAGATTACGATTTAAACACAGACCATTTACAAACTGTTACATTTCACTAACTAGTTGACTTAGTGTGAATTTTCTCACTCAGCACAGGATTTAAGCTTCCCATTTAGAAACACTCTGAAATCTCATCCATACTGAAAGGTAACACTGCTTTTAGATTTTGCCCCTTATGCCACCTTCTGTGCTCATTCACCAAAAGATCCAGAAAAGCTATAAATTGGCTGTAACTTTCAAGGGGAATGACATTTGTTCCCTTTTCATCTGTTATCAAAAGCAGAATGGCTGGCTGAACCAGTCTGGTTTGATTTTGACCAACCAGCAAACCAGAGGAGCACATGGAATCAGTTTGACTGTCTAAGGCAAGGTGGCAACATGTACTTAAAAATCAATAGTAATCAACAGCATTACCACTGTCATTAATCACTTACAAAGGAGACAAGACTATACCATACAGGCAAGAACTAAGGGTGAAAAACAGAGGAAGAACAGTTATGAAAAAGCAATAGCTAGCTGCTGTGGTAGAGGCTGTATTTTGTATCTTGAATTACATAGGGTTTAAGTTCCCTGATAATATTATTCTTTAAGGCCTGGAAAAAATAGATCCTGCTGTTACTTACCTTGAAAATGGTTTACTCTTTTTGTTGTTGCCAAGAATGGTTGTACCTGCCGGTCCCAGCTTGGCGCTTTCGCGTAACCAGTTGGCAGGGGGAAGTTTCAAGTCCGTTTTCTCCTGAAGCCGGGCAAAGGCTGCTTGTGGTGGGGCCGAGGAGTATTTGACCACAGCACTGCTTTTCACTTCATTGCCACCAAGAAACAACACCGACCCCTGGTTTTCAAAGAAAAAATGAGTCTTTCGTTAATAAAATAATAGTAATTAAAAGGTAAGACTCGCCCTACGATAAGTTATTTTTAATGATAAGCAACCAAAGCCCTGTGCTGCTTTCACTCAATTTTCTCCAGTACATATTCACGAGTATTTTGGTTACCCTGATTCTGACACCTGTGTCAAGCATATGCCCCACTTTATGAGTTATAAGACTAAAGCGCTATTAAGGTTAGCTCCCCATGGAATGTGAAATTACTCAGAAAGGCTAAAATTAAACCGTAATCCCCACTAATGCTGCAAAACCTCGTGGAAGTTAAATGTTCACTAACAAACCCCAACACTAAAGTTAGACACGTTTCTGCCTGAATTAGTAAGCCTTATGACTGTGTACTTCTCAAATATAGCAAAACACGCAGCTGTCACATTTGCGTTAAGATCTTCAAAGCGATAGATGTTAAAGGGAAAAACAGATCCAGAGGATACTATTTATGTAAATACGACGCAGCACACAGCACTTAGGCATAACAACAAAAATACTGCTTACAATTAAAGCTTAATCATAATTAGCACGCTCCCTACTGTACTCCGGTCCTGACACCAGCCATCCCTCTCTCACTCGCCAAACTGGAAGGAGGACGCGCGCCCCTGAGGCAACTTCAAACATTCCTGTGGGCTGTGTTTACAGCCCCGCGCCTTCAGCCCGACCGGCCCCGCTGCACCGGCCGCCAACAGGGCGGGCAGAGCAGGGGTTCCCCCCCGCCCCCCTTCGCTACCGTTACCTGCTTGGGCTCCTCGGCGTCTCCCCTCAGGGGGCCGGCGGCCCCCGCTCCGCACAGCTCCTCCATTTTCCGCCCTCCCTCAGGCAGAGAGGGGGGGGCGCCGGGCCGCTGTCAGCGCGCGCCGCCAGCGGACGGGGTGTAGAGGGGGATTGCTACAGATCGGGAACAGCCGCCTCTCGCGAGACTTCCCGAGAAGCCTCGGGAGGCGCGGGCCAATAGGAGCGCGCGGAGGGTGGAGCTCGCGCCCCCTCAGGCCGCGGCCTGAGGGGAATGGTGGCGGAGGCGGGTTATGGCGTCTGTGTGAGGGGCTTTACGGCCTTTCGCCCGGCTCTGGTGCCGGTTCGGCTTTCCTAGGCGGCTTCCCGCCCCTCAGGGGTGCTGAGCCGAGGCGGGTGGTTGCGGTGGGGCGGTACCATCAGCAGCTGCTGTGCCGTAGCAGGAGAGTAAGGTGCTGCGGCCTTCAGGGCCTGTTTCTGTGAGGCGGGGAGCTGCCGAGCCTCTGTGGGCTGCTCCCGCCTGGAACCGCGCTGATCTGGGTTGTTTCAGCCCTGTCCTGACAAAGGACTGGCACGTTGCCGTGTTAGGTAGCTTAGGTAAGGGAATGGGCCAGTAGGGCTTATTGATGGTGTTTGCAGACATGCTGAATAGCTGTAACCTTGAGAAACCAGCGAACATCTGGTGATGGAGCACCTTACAGTGTGGGGGGGATTAAGACTTGTAGCGTGTGGCTTTTGCTTATACACTGAGTTTGACAAAAGAGTTAGCAGCGATGGTCTAACCAAGCAAATGATGCCTTGAATAGTGCCCAAAGGATTTTTCATATTTTAAATTTTCCTCTTGGATTTTATTGTTCACTCTCCATGCCACAAGAGACAGTACAGTTGTGACTGCTCAGGAAGTACAAATGCTGACTGGCTGTCATAATACTCTCAGACTATATTATATATAGAGAGAGCAACTGGTCCAGCTTTTTTACTGGGGAACTTTTCTGTCCTGTCCCTGATCCTCATGGCACTTAAATGACTCTAGTCCTCTTTGAAATTTTTTCGTTCTCTCGAAGTTGATTGAAAATGGCCTGAAGATCTGAAAATTGCTATCGGATCTCAAGAGATGCAAAATACAGTTGCATAAGCCTTGTTTTCTTTGTAAACCACTCTGTTTTTATGAGCACAAAGTATATGTCTTTTAGCAGTAACAATACTATAAACATAACAATACACTTTGGTATGAAAAGACACATAGAATCTATTTAAGAAATACCATTATTTAAGATAATGTTTTAAAGCAGTTTTTAAGATTTAATTATTTATTCCTTACATTCCTTTAGAATGCTTTTATGATGTTAGGAAGGGGCCGTTTTAAGTTTCATACTTAAACTTTTTCAGCTCTACCTATACCTCACTGGAAAACAGCAGTAAATACAAAACTGTTGCAGCCCTTCAGAAAAAAAAAAAAAAAGAAAAGATTTTAGTGGAGTAATAGTTTAAAAGCCAAAGCGCTGTGTGTTTGTGCAATAATGGCCCCCAAGTTACTGAATCTGAAAATGAGTGGAATGGAATGACAACAAATTGTCTGTTTCTCTGCCTGTCACACTTTGTATCCTTCTCTAGTTGTTTCTATCACAGGCTTGGTCTTAAAAATAGCATGAGTTATCTCCACAGCCTTCTGATCTGATCCTGGCACATTTAGATGTTGTGGCAGTTCATTACAGTCAAGGCTGAGATGACAATACAATCATGAAAGTGTTGCAAAACAAGTTGCTCTTACAGCTTGTTTACAGTTGATGGTGTTTTTTTCCTTAGCCAAAATTGCGTTATCTGGAACAGCTTATTTTTCATTAGCGAGGTTTACATTAGCCTCTGTAAATCATCATAAAAGTCATTTACCTACTTTTGTACTGAAATGTAACTTGGAGGATGGCATCATTAATATCAAGTTCCAAATAATCGCTCTTCTTTGTATTATCAAAAGCTCAGCAGATACTCAGAGAGACAAAGTAGGTCATTTAGAAGAAAGCCTTGAAAAACTCATGATGGCAGCTGGTATTCCCAAATAGCATTACCTGTGTCTGATAGTAAGATGGGAAACAAGGTTTTCCCACAGGAACTTTGTAATTGCACTTTTTAAATGGCTGTGCCTGTCTGAAGCATTCACACTTAACTAACCCAAGTACCTCATTTTTTCCTGTTCCATTTGCCAGCCTGATGTGGCTGATTCCCGTGTAAGTTGACCTCGAATATCGCAGTAGTGGAGACCAGGCCATTGAAACATACGAGTGCCATGTTCTTTACAGTCTCTCGAGGCCTGGGAGGCAAAGCCTTGGTTTGTGCTTGGTTTCATGAGGTGTCATGTCTTACCTACAGCCTCCCCCCCAGGCTCCTATCACCATAACCAAGGGCTTTGGGGCCTCAGTTTTTATTTCTGAAATCATCCTTACAGTTCGGTTGGTTCTCCCCATCCACAAAACGGTGTTACAAAATGTTACACATCAAAAAAAAAAAAAAAAGCCTGTTGCCTCCATCATAGGGGCTATGTCTGTAATACATCCCAGGAATAGGGACTTTTTTGGCATGGTGCTGATGGCAGCCACGCAGCCACGGCTGTCACCCCCAGATGCCTGGGGGGACACAGTCCCCGATGTGTTCCCAAGCCCCTGCCTGTGCTGTGCTGGTGGCAGTGTGTGTGACAGTTTAATAGTGCAGATGTTGACAAGTCAGTGCTCAAACTCAGAGGCAAAAAATATCCTTAAGGTGCTGTCAGGGTTGTGGTTTTTTTTAAACAAATACTGTTTGTGATTAAGATGTGTGGATGTGGAAAACTATTTTTAAAAGAGCATGAAGTTATGTCTTAAAAATAATACACCTAACGTCCTTGGGGGTTTTTATCTTGAAAAATGACCCTCCTTTCTTTAGGTATTTGCACTGTAAAGTGTCATTCAAGTCATTGTGCAGAACTGAGTAAATGGAACTCCATTTCTCTCCCATTTTAAGCCAACATTCAGTACTTCCAATAGCTGGGGATTTTTCCCCTTCTGCAGCCGGTGGGTGAGAGCAGCCTTCCCTTCGCTCGGCCCGATCTTACTGACACAGCGGTGTCACTTAGTGACGTATGAGGCAGGGTTTGACGTCACACAGGGGGGTCCCGCCCCTCTCTGTGAGCGGCACGAGCGGCCGCGGTGGCAACCGTGGTGCCCGGGGTGGCGAGCTGCAGAGCGGCCAGGCCGGCAGCGCGGAGCCATGCCCAAGGGCAAGTGCGACCAACGCGGCCAACAACGCGCCGGTGCCTGGGTGAGCCCCTGCGCCCTCTTTTATCCTTAAACTCTCGAAAAAAAACCCATGCTGAGGGACACTTTGTCCTTTAGCCAAAAAACGAAGTTTCCCGTTCCTCATGTTTATAAGAAAAAAATAATGCCCCAGGTATTCAGAGGAAGTGCACTAAAGCAAACATCAGCAGGACTGTTTTTTCAGTTTTCCAACAGTGCTGGAGGTCTCTTATTTTATATTTAGCCCTAGCTGGTTTTCTTTTATCTTCTGGAAAATGCCAGTGGATGTTTGCCTTAGCTTTCACCCTCAGGAGGTGTCCTGGGCTGGGATGTCTGGGCATCCCAGGGCACTGGGACACACGCCTGGCACAGGCTGTTCTTCAGTCCCCGAAGCCCCGTGCCAGGCATTTGGCTGAGCTCTTCCCCAAAACTTTTGTGCTTTCAAACCTACAGCAAGAGCAGTGCGGGGATAAAGAAAAAGACATTACAGTATGAGTGGTTGCTGGATGGATTATCACTGTATAAACAATTTTCGGAAAGTTCCTGGAGAAATAATAATATTGTCTGTTTTACTGATCTGTGTCGTAAGGTCTTTATAGTAGGCATTGTGGTGTGTGTGTGTGAGGCTCCGGGTTTTTCCAGAGGCCACTAGGTGCTGCTGCAATCCAAATAATAAAAAATAAATGGGAAAATAAAATTTTGCCCACATTTGTGATTAGATTTATTTGGTTTTTTTTTTTGTTGTTGGCTTTTTTTTTCAAATACGTCACCCCCCTACAACTTTTATTGTTTTCCAGTTTGCTCATGTTGGAGCATGCCAGAGTCAACCTGAGTCAACTACAAGCTCGACACTAAAACAAGCCCAGAACTCAGGAGCAGCTCAGTCTGTTGAGGAGAGATTGCCGCAAGCGTTCAGAGCTCGGGAGAATGTGAGTTACCGTGGCAAAAGAGTCCATTTACAGAGTGCCTTTTTGCAAGATATCACTTGCTGAGTTATAAGTAAGAACAGCACTTGGAGTAGTTAGCGAAGCAGCCATCGTGGACTGGCAGACGTTGTGCCTCAGGGAGTAAAATGATTGATGGCTGTGCTAGGGAAGAAACATGTTTCGCTCTTACTCAGTTATAATTTTGGGTACTCCGTGTCCTGCTTTAGTTATTGCTGGTTTCCAGCGTCACTTACTTTTCCCTTTTATTAGCTGTTATAGATGGTTGAGACACATTTATGTGCCAGAATATATTATGATCGATCTCAGTCCGAAACCTGTGTTTAAAGCCCTATAGGAACATTTAACTGAAATTTGATGAGCTGTTTTGAACTGAATGTCAGAAATTCTGTATATTCAGGCAAAGCCTTATTTTTTTGATCTTTAAAAAGTTAGAAGCTTCCCATTTGAAACATTTTTAAGACTTGCTTAAAAATGAGGAGATTTGGGACAATTCTGAAACAAATAAAATACAGTATTTTAAAATCACGGGTATTTAAAATGTTACAATTTCATAAGCATATTTTTATATCCTTATTTTATCATCACTCTGAGCTTTGCTTTACCCACCCACTTTGTGCACAGAACATTTTCTATTTTCATTTTCTATAAGCATAGCAATTATATTGAGTTCATTTCACAGATTTTGCTATAATGAAGAGCAGAAATGGGCTAGGAAGGAATATTTAAAAGGGAAGCTTGGGGCTAGTGAAAAGATTATACTGTAACATGAGTATACATTATGGTGATATTATATATAACTTTGTGTGGAGCATCTGGCCTTAGGCACTGTCTGAATAGGAGAACCAGGTCAGATGGACCTTTTACCAATCTCAGCGTGACCATTCACCTGATGTTTTATGCCTTGTATTTACCGGCCCTTCACTGTTAAAAAGAATTAGTGGAATTCCAATCAGTCATAAATCAAGAATTAAAGTGAGGTCAGCAGTGAGAGTACGAAGATGTGTTAAAGTCTAAAATGTAGTGTCACAGGCACAAAGTTTGTTTATGTAACTTTTTTGGAAAGGGCTCGTAGAATGTTGGAAGCTCACTGCTTGTGATGCTGGATGGCTTTAATCTCTTTGTATGAGGGAGCTCACTGGCTGTGAGGTTAATTAATTTTCTCAGAAATATCGTACTGTTTAAGCTTATATTGCTTCTTATTTCTTACTTCAGGCTAGTCCTATAATTATTGTGTAATAGTTTTTTTTTTTTTAAAGATTAGTTAATATGAGGAATCTTTCTAAGAGGTGATACTTGATATGTACCATCTTGGTTTTCAGTTTTCCCTCAGCATATAGACACTAGTAATAAACACTGTTCCTAAATGTTATGATTGTTGTGGAATTGCCTAGGATATTTTAGTAAGTCTTACATTTTACTGACTTAGGAGGTGCTTATTTTAAAACACATATAGAAGAATGTATCCATTGAATTTACTTATCCATTGAACAACAGTCTGGTTGAATCTGTATGAGAAATTAACATGTGGCATGTACCTAAAAGAGATATAGATTCTGTCTTTGTACCAAGTAGCCTAACTAAAGTATGATCATGCAGCTGACTCCACGCAGGCAAATTTTGTATTTGGTGATTCTTCTTGCTGGATCAGGCCTCAGGTTATATTTATCTTTAGAACTGATTCAGACTCTATCTCATAAAATCCACTTACTCTTGAAACACGCTTTTAAAATTGTGTTACATTAAAACTTGCTCTACTGCTTGGTGGTGAATATCATAGTTGGAAGATGAAAAATGTGTTCTACATAGTTAAAAGCAAAAATTGCTAAAGCATTTACAGAAAAAACATTATGTTCTCATCATGAAGCAGGAAAATAATGCTTGAGGAAGAACAGAGGCAATCTAATAGTCCAGGAGAGTTTTCAGTGTTTAAATTTTTAGCTGTTTTCATAATATTGCAATGATAGATAATAAACAAACTTTAAAAAAAATTACATATGTGAAATTACTTTTAAAATAGTTCTTTTGCAGTTGTCTTTTCTTCTCCTAAAACTCTAGTTTCATTTTGGAGACTGGATGAACATTATGTTAAAGAATGAGATTATAAATTAGTTATGCAATTAATACCTCCTCCACTTCCCCTGCAACAAGCAGTGTACATGACATTCAGTACATATATCATAGATTAATTCAGTTTTGTGGTCCCTTTTGTGGTTCATTTTAATTAGCTTTAGGCTTACTAGTGAATCAAACAAAGCAATCCTGACATATATGTAGTATTTTGCTGCTTGCAGACAGAATGCAGCATTTCTTTTCAAAATTCACACTTTTATATTAATCATGTATATATTCAGTAAGTCAAGGGAATGCAAATCTTCCTGATGATTTTGTAATAAAATAAAATACAGAGGGTCCATGTTGCCCCCATAAAATTATGTGCAGTTAAGATTTAACATATGAATACGACTTTTGTGTTAGAACATAGGCTGCTATAATTTCAGCATCTGTCAGACTAGTAGGTTCCAAGAGGGTATGTGAAAATTTGTAAATTTTTTGCTATAATTTCTCTTTTTCAGGGAGCAAGGAACAAAAATTTCCCATTTTCTTCTCATGACAACAGACACTGTCTACGGAATGTGGGAGAGTACTTTGATTCTGTAAGTACCCAGCACTGAGAAAAATTAAGCAAGTTCGTATCTCTCAGTCTGCCAGAGATTAAATATAGTATCTTTACTCTCCCCTGCCGAAATTATAGATGCTAAAAGTTAGGAGAGAAGAAAAATGGAAACAACATATTAAAACAGACTTCTTATATAGGGAAGGGAGTACAGGGATGGGATTCCTCTGGGGCTGGCACAGGTGTACAGCAGCACACATGGTCATGCAGAGTGGCAGAATACAAGGGGAACAAAAACCCCATGGTTTGGTCTCTGACAGGCATTTTCTGGCAGTTCTGGTTTTTAAACTATGAACGTAGTTTTGTACCCAGTTACATATCCTGTTAGTCTGCTAAAAGTGATTGGCCTCGTGATGAACTTTTGGAGGGGTCTTAGCCACTCAAAATTCACAGTCCTACATACTTGGTTCGGACTCATCTTTATCATAAGTTTAACCAAAATCCATAGGACACTCACAATTTATCTCCAGAATGTATCCAATCCACATCTCTTTATAATATACCTGTTTAAATATATGTTGCAGAAGCCACAACTTTGCATAGAATTTAAATTGTTCTGTATGTGCAACAGTTTCATGTTTTTCCACTTTTCTTACATTGTTGACATCTTCCAAGGTAGCGAAAGAAACAGTGCAGTTCATAAGATAATGAGTAGAGGAGGAAGAAGTGAACTGTGATATTGAAAGCTGGTCTGGCTTTGGGCTCTCTTAGACCCAGATTTTTTGATATTCATTATTCACTGAGTACCCTCCATTTCTGTGCACTTTGTGCAGTGTCTCATAGTTTTAGAGATACTGATCACCCATAATTCCAAATAAATTTCCTGCAAGCTATGGAGTGTGAAAATCAGGCTCTGTCTCTGTGTTTGGACACACAAGGGATAGTTTTGAAGATTCAGATTTCATGGTCTGTCTCAGTTTCTTTATTGCAGTCTGAACTTAAAATTATTAACCTATTTCTTTGGGTTGCTCCGAAGATTAATATAGCTGAGTATAGCTAAACAGCTTTGAGGATATAGTATGGTACAGAAATGTAAAGTATAAGTGGTTTATTAGTACTAAGAGGTGGAAGGCCAACAGATTTCCCGTTCTATATGCAACTAGAAATGTTCATATGGGCAAGTCTGACAATATTATTTTTAACTTGCGAAAGATCAGCCATGAGTTCTTGAAATCACTGTGGTAACAGCTTCGTTAATTTCCCAGTGGGGTAGTGACTGTTACAAGATTCATCTGTGAAACTGTGATTGTAAGTCATATGTTTACATGAATTTTTCTTTCAATTTTTTTTTTTTTCTAGGGTATGGGCCGGAGGAAGGTGGAACCAGAGAGACGGCAACAGAACTCACACAACTTCTTCCTATGGGCTCATGAACCAGTTCCTAGCAACGAGGATGGCTTAACCACTTACCAGACATCATTTATGAAAAATGAAAATACTGAGAGCCCATTTTACAAGCGGTTTCCAAAACACGACTTGGAAAAATGTTGCACTGACAGAGCCGTTCCTGAGAATGGAAAACAACTGCAGCCAAACAAGTAGTCTTAATTATAAAAACACCTTTCAAGCATCGACTTATCATCATCAGAGCCTTTTCTCAAGATCTGAACTACTCGTTGCTCAAATGGATAATGAAATAAATATATGTGTAAAGTGAATGTGGTAGTATGGTTGAGACTTCATTGAAATCAACAATCACATTACTCTAAAGACATACAATACTACAAAGATTTTAATCAAGAAGAGCATTATAAGGAAAAAGCACGTTTGTACCTATTTTAGAAATCAGAGAACAGAGATTGTGATTGTACTTGTGTTATTTGATACTGGTTTACCCTCATCTTGATACAAAAGCTCCTTCAACTCCAGAATGAGTGGTATGGCTGCACCTCAAGCAGCTGACAGCACCTGTGTTGACAGAAGAATATGATGGAACTGGATCCTTGAGGGTTCACCACAACAGGGAGCCAAAACCACATGTTCAGGTAAGAGAGAAACTTTTCTGAAAGGTTTCATGGATAGGAAGGAGTTAGAGAAACTAGAGAAAAAGCTGTGCATTAGATTGTTGTGCAAAATAACTGTGATATTTGGTTATAAGACAGCGGTTGTATAAGTAAAGAAAGAAAGGATGTTGTAAACAATGTTTGTGTGCTTGTGTGTGCCCTCACAAACTGCAAGTGTCGTGTGTATGTGTCGTTCATGACACTAAAGGGAAAAAGCTCAAGCTTTTTTTTTTCAGCTCAAGCTGAAGGTGGAAGGATACACGAAGGTTTTTCTGTTTGAGGCAGACTGGATCTGAAAAGAACTCATGATTGGGGACATGGTTACATGTCCCTAAGGAAGTGAATTCAGAACCAGTCCTCCAAGCCCTCTGCTCCCAGAATACTCACTGGCTTTAGGATATGGAAAGCATTAGAGTCAGACCTCTGCGCTCTCCTCTTCTGGATCACTTCCATTAATATCAATAAAATAATAAACCAAACTCTGTGTCTTAAAATATACTAGGAATGAGCTTGTTGCTATGCAAAATAACGTTGACTAAAAAAAACTGAAGCATGTTTATGGGATAATTTCCTTTGTTTACAAGATAAATGGAAAAATAAACCCTCAACCCCTAGAATTCTCTGTATTGTAAGAGATGCATTGAAAATGAGCTGTGTTAAGAAATGATTTCTGCCTTTCAGGGAACAGATATATCTTTTTCTATCAGCGTGCAGTGACTGACCTTTTTGTGTGCCATCAAAATAGGTTGTATTAGAGTATTTCCCCAAATGTGTAGCAATTTTATTAGCACATGCTGAAATAATAATCTACTTTTTTTTTTTTAATGAAGTTCCCCCTACTAAAGTTCTTGGGGTGCTGCACAATATGGAGAAATGCAAAACATTAATGAACAATGTACAAACAGATTAAAAGCCAAGTAATATAGTGTTATTAAAAAGAATTATTTTTTCTCAAAGACAGCCCTCCTGACAACTCCAGACTCAGAATTTCCAGAGCTTTAGCCAACAATTTCGTCTCCAAACTGATTCAAAACTAAAGCGTGTGCCAATCACATGGTAAATGCAGTACCCCATGCTGTTTGGCATACTCAAGAGGGCAATCTTGGACCTCCATCAGAAGGAAGAAACACATTCTTGCTACATTAGTAATGTTTATCTGTGGTTTAGCATTACAACTGGATATGGGGAAATAAATTGCTGTAGTTTGTTCTGCCTTAAAACAGCAATAGAAAGATTCCAGATTTCTTTTTCTCCCTTCCCCCCCCCCCAAGTTTAACTCAAACATGGATTTTTTTTTTTAAGTAACTGTGGATTAATATATCTTCTCAACAATATTGTGATAAAGATTCCAGAGGAGAAACTGGAGGGCTCGTGAAACCTCAACACAAACTGTGCTGGGTTGAACAAAACAGGTGATTCCCACGTATCTCATGCCCTGGCTGTGTTTCTCCGGTAAATAACCTGAGATGAAATACACTGCATTTCAAAATGAATGATAAATGCCTCAGATAAATGCCAGAAAGTCATAGCCTTGTGTACTTTGGACAGAAACCATCAGTTGTGTTTAATCCTGTGATAATAATGTCTCTGAGAAGAACCACCCTATTGAGTTAAAATATTTTTGCAATATGGCTTTTTTTTCCTTCTTGGGGGATGGAGGAGAGGGGAGAAGGGCTGGTAACTCCCAGAAAGGTTTCCTGGTCAGTGCAGGAAAGCGCTGCCAGCTGGTAGTTAATTAGGATCAGATGGATGGAGGGAGGCTCAGCAGAATGAGCATGCTATGGGTTAACTACTCTGGAAAAGTAGAGGTTATGCTTTAGGTGGTGCAGATAAAGATGGACTTTTTTTTACCTTGTTTTATTAAAAAAATGAAACAAGCGCGTTTGTTGCAAAATTTCCTTGAGCTGTATTATCAACAGTTTGAACACAGCCAAAACCTCTTTACAGAAACAACAGGCTTTGCTCTGTAATCCTTTGGAATGAGCCGCCATCAGTGCCCTCTGGTTTGTCTCCTGAGCCTGCATCAATGTAGGGACTGTTGACACAGCTTTCTTAAGAAGTCACTTTCGTGTTAATTGAAAAGTGTTTTCAGTGTGTTAGCTAAATGCACAGAACTCAAGCACAATTGATTAAAAAAAAGTAAACCAAGGGGCTGGGCAGGTGGTTGCAAGTTCCTTTGGTGAAATGAGTTGCTAATCATCAGCTGGACCCCACAACAGGCTAAAGTTCATGATTAATATGGCTTAGTTGGAAAATACCAACTTTGTCACTTAACTTCCCATGCCCTGGTTGAAGACCGCTTGTTTCTCAGGGTGCATCAGTTGAGTTGTTTTGGGATACAGTCTTTGCTTGTGTCTGCATGGTTATGTCCACTTGTTTAAAGTGTGTTTTGTTTTGTTTTTTCTTTTTCCTGCCCTGGTTGCTGATGAACTAGATCTGAGAAAATGATCTCACTCAAAGCTGCTGTCTCTCAGACCGTGTGGCCTCCTGGTAAGCTACGCGTCCGCTTTTCTTTTATAGCTGTTTCATTTATGAAATGTTGTGGTCTATGAAATGGTTTTAATAGTTATTTTGACCCTGATAAGACAAGCTATTGATGTTGTGTGGTAGCAGATTGGGTTTGGTACAATTGGAGGCAAGATTGAAATTTTGCCTTTTGTTTACTTGGTGTCTAAAGAAGCTTTAAGAGATGTTCAGAGCCTGAACTGCCTGGTTTGGGGAGAGTTGGGTGGAAGGGGGAGTGCTGCTGCTCGTGGAGCTAGTCATTCAATGGGGATGCAACAGCTCGACTTCCAAGTCATCTGCTGCTAATCTAATCACTCGGTGTTCATAATTGAATCATTCCGTGTAGCTGAAATGTTGTTTCTTACCTTGTACTCTCAAGGTTAGTCTGAGTGAAGTAACTCGATAGAAATGTTGCACTGAAGATGAGCCCTTTTCCTTCCTTGGGCTACACGCTTACGTTAGTAGCAATACTCTTGGAGATCTGTCTGAACCCGAAACTGGTGCTGATTTATTTACAGTGATATAGTTCAAGTGTTAAGCATCTATAAATGTTCTTATACTGGTTTAACTTTCCCCTTGGTGAGCAGAATATTGGTATAACTGTGATGGTGCTAATGTTGAACTGAAAGTATAGGCCTGTATCTAATAGAAATGCTTACGTTCAGATGGTGGCCATGCTGGATGACAAGAAAGAAAATTTCTGAAATTAAGCAGATTCTAATTCTGGAATTTGGATTAGAGCCTGCAAACCTGTGTTTTTTTTTTTTTTTTTAAAGTTTTTATTATTCCTTAACCTTTCCCTTGCTGCATTATCTAATGAGCAGTAGATGGCAAGTAGAGAGTCCCTCCCCTCTGGAGTGGGAAAGGACTATATAGAGCTACCTCATCCCAAATTTCTTGTTTTATGCCTGTCTCCCCAACAAACTATGGAGAAACTATGTAGAATTTACAGAGTTTGTATGTGTTTGAACGCTTGATGGCAGTTGCTGGAGACACCCAAGTCTCAATATGTCACTTCTGGACAAGTCTAAAGTGTCTTAATCTTGACAACGCCAAGCTCAAGCCTCTATCAGGGAAAAGATCCAGAAATTAATTATTCTCATTAATAGTTACCACTGTGCTTGTAATTGGGGGAATGCTCAAATACATCAAGTTCTTCAGAGGGTACATGACAAGCATCATGTCTGTGTGTACGAGTTTAATTATTACAACACCCATTTGAAATGGGTTCTGTTCTTTCCTCTGTTCTTGCATTGTTTCAGGGAGAGGGTTATGGCTTATTACACAATGATGCAACTTCTCTTTGCTTTCCTCTTCCTGAAGCTGTCTTATGTGCGTGGAATATTTAGATGTTTATTGAGTCAGTGAGAGAAAGTTCAGATGTGTCCAGGAGCAGGCATGATGATCTAACCAGAGGGAGGGTGTTGTCTACGTTGGGGTCTTTGTGTGGCTTTTAAATTTGAAGTAAACATGAATTGAAGCAAAGGCTGGAACTGGGGTCTGCCCACTCACAGGTTGAGTGCCCAGCCCACTGAACTAGAGAAAACTGGGCTTTCTTTCAAGCTCAATATTTAATTGTTACATACAAAATGTAGCAGCTTTGTCAGAAGGGGTAAGAGTGGTCTTTCCTTCTTGCTGTGGGATGTCTAGAACTACTGATATAATGATCATAAAGCAATTATAGCAATGAACCAATCCTTACAGTAGCTCCATGGAGTATTTAAGCAGTAGTACTCACTAGACTGAGGGTGATTGCTCTGTCAGCAGCAAAGCCATGGCCATAAGATGAGGAGTCCTGCCTCCTTTTGCTGCAACCAGCACTTCTTTCCCTGTGGATTTGCTATAGAGTATTTAGAGGTTTATTAGACACCTAGTTGCCTGCTAGTGTAGTAATTTAAGAAACTGATGGCTCTGCCTATGTTTTAATGATCCCTTTTAATATTCTATGGAATGAGAGACAAATCTGGTAACTCAAAGTGTGCTATTTCTGAAACGGAAGTGTGTTGTTTTTTTTTTTAATTTAAAATGGACATCCGCTCATGTATTTAGATTGTCCAGCATATTCTGATACCTGCAAATGGCAGTGCCTACTATGCAAACAGACCAACAGCAGTATCAAGTACTGTGCTCAGCTGTAAATTCTTGGGGGA